ATACATACATATAAATATACACATCCATAACTGGGGTACAAATATTCGTGCTCATCACACAAATGAATGTCCCCAGCGGAACTCGAACCCGCGACCGCGATAGCAAGTAGGGTCATCGGGTCGTAAACGTGTCGTCTAAGTAAAGCTAATAAAAGCGTGTAAAAAGTAAAAACATTAAAATTTAATGGGGCATAGCACGATCACTTACGCACTCGACGATGACGCCCCGATGGCAGGTCTGCCGAAGCAGATGACACAACCAAGTAGTTGCTGCCACGGTCCACTCTGCTGTCAGAGAAGTACCAGGGGCAACACGCGTAGTCCATCGCCCATCAAAGTGGGCCACCACTCTGTGTGTCTCTTGGCTTCGCGCCCAGCTGGGTTGCCGGACGCTAATGAGCGCCCACAACAAGGAGAACATACATTGGGAGGACCATTTTCATACCATATAGTAAATAAAATGTAACTCGATGATATTTAGAAGAGCAACTGTTGAACTGATCCGGTGGCAGCTTCCTCACGGACTGACTACACCACCGTTCTTAAAATTAAAGTCCTTATTAAGTCTAATTGAATAAAGTTTCATTTATTCATATAAATGCGCAAATTTGTATGTTAGTATGCGTACGTGCATGTCTGTATGTTTGTTCCTTCAAGTTGCTGAGCGAAGGGAGCGTAAGTCACCAGTCTTAAAAATAAAAATCGATCAAATGCGAGTCGGATTCACACAGGGAGGTTTCCGTACCATAATCGTTTTATTTTAGTTTGCACGGGAGCCTTTTTGAAATTCGCCATCTTGTATTTTAATATTTGTTGTTATAGCGGCAATAGAAATACACACTCTGTGAAAATTTCAACTCTACCTATTATGGTTCAGGAGGTACAGCCTTCTAACAGACGGACCGACGGACAGCGGAGGCTTAGTAATAGGGTTCCGTTGGCACCTTCGCGTACGGAACCCTAAAAAACAAAATTATAATAAAAAAATTGTTTATAAATTAGAGTAAGACATAATTTTACATACCGAAATAAGACAATAGGTATTATAATTTACTTACGATTATGATTTTTAATTTGTCGTGTATTAAGTATCGTATTAAGATTTGGGTAGGCATTGTCTGTAATAGGTATATGTTTGAGACGTCGATAACCTTAGTCTCTCCCGTGACCATGGTTGCTGTAAAGCATTCGAAACGTCGGGAACCAAAAATCAAAATTGTAATGTAGGTAGAATAATAATATTGTTTATTTTCTTCTTTGTGAACTGTAACGGCCACCGCAGTCTCGCATTAAAGGCTTAAGCAGTACGTTGTGTTTGCTTCGATATCCAAATAACTAAACTCAGATTTTACAGTGGCGACGAGAATAAGAATTCACGTACGAGTACATTTAATTATATATAATATAATAAAAGAAAAAAAAAAAACAAGATGTCAATCGGGAAGTTATCAGAGTTCGACATTCACAAGGACGATTGGATGTTATACGTGGACCGTCTGGAACAATATTTCTTAGTTAATAACGTAAGTAATGAACTCCGAGTGCCGACGTTAATAACAGTTATGGGCGCAGAAAGTTACGAACTTTTAGTTAATTTGTGTACCCCAGAAAAACCGAGTACAATAAGTTTTCATCAAATTACACAAATTATGGAAAAACATTTACAACCACGGCCCAGTGAATTGGCAGAACGATATAAGTTCAGGCACAGAAAACAACGTAGTGATGAAAAAATTTCGGAATACGTGGCAGTTCTTAAGAAAATGTCAAAAACGTGCAATTTTGGTAGTTGGCTGGAAGAGAGCTTGCGAGATCAATTCGTATGCGGAATAAATAGTGAGATAATCCGCCAGCGTCTATTCGCAGAAAAGGGACTCGACTTCATTAAAGCTTATAATATGGCAGTAAGCATGGAAGCGGCCGAGAAAGATGCAGCGATAGTACAAGGTCACGGCCGATCATCGGATACAGTCATATCAGCTGATTGCCAAGTCATCACTAGGGCGACAGGGAAGCATTCAACGACGCGGGGCGAGACGGCGAATACGGCGCACGGCATGTATAGGAAGTATAATGCGCGCGCGCGAGCTGTACAAGATGGCGACGGGCGGCCGGCCGCGCGCGCCACGGCAGTGTCGGCGGCGGGTGAGCGGGCTCAGCGGCAGCGGGAGTGTCACGCGTGTGGAGGTGCTCATAGTGAAGTGGCGTGTAAATTCACGCGATATGTATGCCGCGTTTGTAACAGACAAGGACATTTAAAGCGTATGTGTCCGGCCTTAGCGACGTCGGAACAGCACTGTGTAGTTGCGAACTAAATAGAAGAAAAGAGAGAACGGTGGAACGATGATGAGGACGAGGTAATTTTTATTGAATTTAATAAGTTAACAATAAATCAGTGTACGCCTATGATAATACCGATTAAAATTGAAAATAATTTTATTAACATGGAAATTGATACAGGTAGTGCGATTTCTTGTATAAGTTTAGATATGTATAATAGATATTTTTGTAAATTAAAATTGAAAACGTGTAAGCTTATGTTAAGATATTATACGGGTGAAACGGTACGACCGGTAGGGTTAATAACGCCCTTTGTTACTTACGAAAACCGATCGAAATGCTTAGATCTGTATGTTATTAAAGACGGCAAAACAGCACTGCTCGGTAGACAGTGGCTAGCTGAATTAAATATTAAATTGCCTAAATATGATTATTATTATCAGTCATTAAATAATTTAAGCTGTGATAAATTCAATCTCGAGGTGTTCAGTTCCAGATTCTCTGAGGTGTTTGCGGAGGGACTCGGGCGGTATATGGGGCCGCCGGTTAGCATTCATATACGCGAGGGTGCACGACCCGTGTATATGCGTGCGCGGCCTTTGGCGTATGCGCTGCGCGAGCCTGTGGAGCGCGCGCTCGAGCAGCATGTACGGGATGGCATCCTCACGCCGGTCGAACGTTCCGATTGGGCTACGCCTATTGTACCTGTGCTCAAGAAAGACGGTAACATTAGAATCTGTGCTGATTATAAATTAACATTAAATAAAATTTTAGAAATTGACCGTTATCCCCTTCCCCGTATTGAGGATTTATTAGTTAGGCTAAACGGGGGGAAACATTTTAGCAAAATCGATCTCTCTCAAGCTTACGCCCAAATGGTTTTGGATGATACAAAAAAATATACTGTAATTAATACACATAAGGGTCTGTTCGTATACAATCGTTTAGTTTATGGTCTGTCGTCTAGTCCGGGGATTTTTCAACGACGATTGGAGGAAATGTTTGCAGACATACCTCAGGTAGGTGTCTTTCTAGATGACGTTATTATTACTGGACAAACGACAGCGGAACATATAAGTAATCTGTACAAGGTATTCGAAAGGTTAAAGAAAAACGGACTCAAGGTTAAGAAGGAAAAATGTGAGTTTTTTGCAGATTCTATTAATTATTTAGGACACGTGATAAGTAAAGACGGTGTACATACTTGTTCCGATAAAATTAAAGCTATCGTAGACACACCAGCTCCGTCAAATATTCATGAATTAAGATCGTTTATCGGGATGGTTATGTATTACGCAAAATTTGTAAGAAACGTAAGCACCTTATTAGCACCACTATATGCGCTATTGAAAAAAGGAGTAAATTTTCGTTGGGATAGGAATTGTCAAAAAACCTTCGAGGCTATAAAGACAAGTTTGACGAGCAGTGAGGTATTGATGCATTACTCGCCAGAGTTGCCTCTCGTACTGACGGCAGATGCAAGTAGTGTAGGTATTGGTGCGGTTCTGTCGCACGTGACGCCGCATGGGGAGCGGCCGGTAGCATATGCGTCACGTTCTCTATCTCCGGCCGAACGATGTTATTCGCAAATAGATAGAGAAGCTCTTGCAATAATCTTTGGCATCAAAAAGTATCATCAGTACTTGTATGGTAGGAAATTTATACTACGAACGGACCACAAGCCTTTAACATACATTTTTGGTCATAGGGTTGGTATACCAGTAATGGCTGCATCGCGTTTACAGCGATGGGCATTACTGTTGTCAGGTTATAATTATGATATAGAATACCTTGTTTCCTCGAAAAATTGCGCAGACGCTTTGTCTCGGTTACCATCGGAGGAAAGTAAGAGTGATACCACTAATGAGATAAAGTATCTCAACTTTGTGGAACAGTTTTTACCAATTACGAATGATGACGTAAGAAAGGCTACTGCAAAAGATACACTCTTGAGTAGAATCAAATTATATATTGAATCGGGCTGGCCTGCGGGTTGTCCCGACGAGGAGGTAAGACCTTACTTCACGCGACGGTATGAGTTGTATGTCGAATGCGGTTGTGTGATGTGGGGTTATCGAATTGTTATACCTACAAGTTTACGGTTATTAGTTTTAAAGCAATTACATAGCGGGCATATGGGTATAGTTAAAACTAAAAGTTGCGCTCGGGGCTATGTTTGGTGGCCACGTATCGACGAAGAGGTTGAAGCGACATGCCGAAATTGTGAGACATGTTCGCGGGAACAGGATGCGCCACCGCGGTCACCTCCGCAACCGTGGCCATATACATCTCAACCTTGGACCCGGGTCCATGTTGATTTTCTAGGGCCAATGTTAGGTAAAACATTTTTTGTGTTAATCGATGCATATTCCAAATGGTTAGAAATCGTAGAAATGAGGCAAACCAATGCGGTGAGCGTAATAGGCGCTCTTCGTAGTATGTTTGCGAGATTCGGGTTGCCAGTAGATTTAGTTTCCGATCAAGGTCCACCTTTTACAAGCAGGGAGTTTGAATCATTTTTAAAAAATAATGGCATACGTCATTTGTTTTCACCGGCATATCATCCGTCCTCAAATGGTGCCGCAGAAAATGCCGTCAAACTTTGTAAAAGGGCGATAAAAAAGGCTATTAGAGATAAAGTCGATGTTGACATAGCTTTACAGACATTTTTATTAGGGTACCGTAATACCATGCACTGTACTACAGGTGAAACACCGGCCATGTTACTTCAACGTCGCTCGTTACGCTCACGTTTAGACTTGCTACGTGCCAATCGGGTAGTAGAAAATAAGGTTTATGCAGCTCAGGATAGACAAGTAGAAAATGCAGGGGGAATGTATCGACATTTAGAGCCAGGGGAACCAGTTTGGGCTAAAGGGTTTAGTTCACAGGACAAGTGGATTAAGGGGAAAGTAAACGAGAGAGAAGGCTCTAATAGGTACGTTCTAGAGGGGGATAATGGTCAATTATTTAAAAGACATATTGATCAAATACGACGTAGATCACACATGTCTGATGTTATTTGTCCCGATAACTCTTGTTATGAAAAAAATAATGAGAACGGAGGTGAGGATGGTATCATAGAGGCCAGGGAAGAGGTGGATGTTAGTAATAGTAGTAAAAAACACGGTTTAACTCCAGTTAAGGAATTAAAATCTAAAAGTAAAGAATTATCCGCGGTTGAGCTTAATAGCGATATGAATATCTCTACTAACCATCCACCGCAAGAAATCCCGGAGCCTCGTTACCCCCAACGAGTTCGCAAACCTGTAGTTAGATTTGGTTTCGAATTTGATTAGTTATTTGAATTGTATTATACTATATGATATTTAAACTGTATAATTCTAGATTAAGAATTAACATCAAAGAGTTTTGTATACTATATAAAATATATAATAATATCTAATAAAATGTATAAGAGGGTGTTAGGATTTAAGGGTGGAGGTGTAATGTAGGTAGAATAATAATATTGTTTATTTTCTTCTTTGTGAACTGTAACGGCCACCGCAGTCTCGCATTAAAGGCTTAAGCAGTACGTTGTGTTTGCTTCGATATCCAAATAACTAAACTCAGATTTTACAAAAATAAATCTGCGAAATAATCCGAAAAGATAGTTTTATTTAAGACACATAGGCTTTTGTAAGGCATCTAGGAACACTCCATGTAGCAATATACTCTATGAACACTCCCAAGCGAAGCTAAGTCACCAGTGTACCCATATTTCTAATATATATATAACTGGGTTAAGCTAAGGTATTATACTATGTATGTCGAAGAGTTAAACGCCGGTTTTCTATACGTTATAACCACGCCAGTTTCTCACGGATGCATCTGGCGGTAGCATTACACAACGACAACGCAATATATACTGACCATTATAAAATAACGAAATTATTATACTTTACGATACCATAAACAAGTTTCAACATTAAATATGATTTGTCTATCCCATGGACTTCTTTCGTGTTAATAAGCCACATATTTAAGTGACATGTTTTAGTTTAAGTTGAGCTTTGTTTCATTATCATTTCTTGTACATAAAAGAAAATAATCTAAAATAGGGTTACGTAGATTCAACCTTATTGATTGAATAGAAACCCGAACGATCGTTCTATGTTCAATTCTTCTTTTTTTTATCATCTATTCTGTTAAATAATGAATTTAATCATATTTTATTTGAATATTAGATACTTATTTATACAAGTATTATGTTATGTTAAAATGATCGTTTTATTACCCGACTGCGCCAGAAGGAGGGTTATGTTTTGGAGGGAGAGACGTTCCTCCCGTGACCATGATTGCTGTAAAGCATTCGAAAAGTCGGGAATCAAAAATCCAAATAAATCCTCGAAGAAATTCGAAAAGAGAGTTTTATTTAAAATGTCAAATATTCGCGTAAATGTAAGAAAGTATTAGGTTTCTTTATATTTCTAAATTCTATCGACTATCACTTATATATTATTATTTAAAATGTAAATATTAATGCTCGTAGTGATGCATGTCAGGGATTGTTTAAAGCCATAAATGAAGTAAGCGGTCGTATTTGCGTAACGAATTGCAAAACAAATATAACGGGCGCGAAGTTAAGACTGGTATCAAAATAAAATTATTGGTATCGATTCATCGATATCTGACTAATAAATAGGTCTCATTTGTCTGCATCGACGGTTTAGTGGCTAGCATATACGGCTGCACATCAGAGGTCCTAGGTTCGAGTATCAGTTGGGGCAAAATTTATTTCTTGAGTTTTTCTGTTGTGTCACATCTTCATGAGTTGGAGAGCACGGTAAGTTGTCAGTTTTGCCCGTTAACTCTCACCATCGTGTCAAAGTATTGCGACGTCGGACGTTGAGAGTGAAATTAATAGAGAGTGCCGCTATGGCCGACATCGGTTGGGAAAATATTATATTATTGTTGTATTCGGCCCTTTTTAACGTTTCACTGCTGGGCACGGGCCTTCCTTCAATACGAGGGAGATCAGGCCATAGTCCGCCACGCTGGCCAAGTGCAGGTTGGCGGACTTCACATGTCTTTCGAAAACTTGCTAGGTTCTCTCAGACATGCAGATTTTCCTTCGTTGTAAGGTAAGTAAAGTGGTAATCATGTTCGAAATGATATGCACATGAAAATGTCAGAAATGCGAGACCCGGGATTTGAACCACCACTTCACTCGGCTTACTAAGCGAATCGCTACCACTTGGCTTCCACTGCCTTTTATATTATTGTTCTTTGTATGTTATTAAAATTGTATTCTTCTTACAGACAGGGGCTAGAAGTAGTAAGAATGTAGAAGAATGAGGCAGTAAGCATTTTTTTTATTTCTAAATCGATTTCCTTTATACAAAATTACATGTAGTAAGATATATTTTACAAACAAATTATCGATTTAAATATTTTGTAACGATAATACTATAACGGTATTTCATATTAGTCATTCATGTATTGCCTGATCATATTCGATGGATTTTTTTTTATTTACAACGTCAGTATTTACAAATGGTTTGAAGTAATATAAACTAAAATATATATTAGTAAGAAATTGTTTTATTTATAGAATTAGTAACTTTGATTTCTTAAGTAAGTTTTAGCAAAACAATACATTGCTTTCCCACGGGATAAAATAATTATAGCCTACATAGAGACATAGGCTAGTTATAGCTCAGGTACAAAATCAATAATCATGCACGTCCTTTATTTTACCTTATAATCAGCTACTCACCCTCGCTTAGCTCGGGTTCGTCCCTAGGTTGATTCCCCATACACACTTTAATCCCCATTTTCACCCTCTTAAGAGATGATTTCCCGAATAAAAAATATACTCTCTCTAAATCGGTTAAGTGGTTTTTGAGTTACAAACATACAAAAATGCAAATCTTTCCTCTAATCTTACTACGAGTATTATAGTAGTGTAGATTTAAATGTGGAAGTCTTATAATGTTTGAATAACTGTTTCTTAATCACAGTTAATCGTTGAACGGTTTTGATGAAACTTGGCACATAATATGTAGAGTTGCCCTGGACCTGGAGTAGCACTGAATGTGTTTAATGATTATTATATTTTTTGGATATTACTTATTTTAGTACTAAGGCGACAATATGTATTATCTATTTTAAGCAAGTGACTATTTTATACAAAATATAGATTTCAATGCACTCACTTTTGTGTTTATTGCTATTTATAAATTGTAGGCAGTGGCAACCTAGTGGTAATGTGCTAGCTTGGGAAACCGAGTGAACGGAGTTCAAATCCCGGGTCTCGCACCACTGATGAAACCTGCATGTCTGAGAGAACCTAGCAAGTTTTCGAAAGACGTGTGAAATCCGCCAATCCACACTTGGCCAGCGTGGGGGACTGTGCCTGATCCCCCTAGAATGAATTCAGGCCCGTGCCTTAAAAAGTGCTGAATACAAATAAATTGTATAGGTACCTACGTTATATTTTCAACCGACTTCCTCAAAAAGGAGGAGGTTCTCAATTCGCCTGTATTTTTTTAGTGTTTGTTACCTCAGAACTCCGTCATTTATTAACCGATTTGGACAATTTTTGTTTTGTTTGAAAGTGTATACTTTCAGATTGGTCCCATTTAAATTTCAAAAAAAAATACCACCCCTAAGGGTGGAAAAATAGCTAATGATGAATTTAACCTACTTCTAACTGTCATATTGACTTGAAACTTTGCATGTGTTTCTACTTCCGTTAATAGTACAGTGGTTAGGTATTGTTGACCTGATCTGATGGCAAGGTCAGAAGGTGGATAGGTCGAACTCTTCAACGGCTAATAGTAGATACTTTGAGTTTGGGCTTATTTTGTTTGATTTGACAAGCCTAATACGTTAGAATTCTTACTTTGCTACACACTGACATCGAAAATATTTGATTAGGTATGTATAGTAAATGAAAACTATTAATCAGTTATTTTTACTTTTTAGTGTTTTTGTTTGAAGTTGGTTTTTATTTTTTTGTTAAAAAGTTTTTTATTTAGTTGAATCACATGACTCAACGAAATAAAACAACGTATTTTATACTGCTTATAGAATCGAAATTTTGATAAGTATTTGTTTGATCAGATTTTAAGTTGTAAAATATACAATGTAGGTATCTGACAAGTCGTCGCGAAAACAGACAAACAAAAAATTAAGACTTATTGTTTTGTCTTTGTAATAATATTTACTTTAAAAATACACAATTTTGACCTCTTACTTATAACATAAATAGCAATTCAAGTGAGATTCATACCAAATAATATGTTGTATTTTTAACTGTTTAGTCTTCAATGAGTGAATCTACATCTATACGTCTGTATATATAAATAAAATTGAAGTGACTGCCAAAACAACAATGTTTTCTCAACAAGAGTTATTTATATGACATCAGTACCTAACTATCCTTTTTAAAAGTGTTTGTCTGTCTATCTGTTTACTTTTCTGTTTGTCCGGAGTAATGGAGGAGGAGTTTGGAACAGCTTAACTAGATACACAAATATGTTGGGATATTAACACACAGCACCATCTAGTTCCATGGTAAGCTACGAGGCCTGTGTTATGGATATCAGATAGTTAATACACTACACATATTATATAACCTTAAATACATACATATTATAAATATATACACCCATGACTGGCGTAAAAACATTCGTGCTCAACATAATGAAGGACCCCAGCGGGACTCGAACCCGCGACCGCTGGCACAGCACGTAGGGTCACTACAAACTGAGCCAAAAGTGTCGTCAAATTGATTGTAATAGGACTTTCTGTAAAACATAGAGGAGTTTGTAGGGTATGTTTTATTCCCGAAATATTAAAGGTTCCAGCGCGAAAATTGAAAACCCTCAAAAATTACGTAAATTTCGAATTTACGATTTCGCAAAAAAGTCCGCAGTAACATGTGTATATCTCCTAAAGTTCACTCACAATAATTATTTTTATCTATTGAAAACGTACCTAGTAAAGAATCTAAATAGTTTATCCTACACAGTTACTTCACTTCGTTTTATTATATTTAGTTTATTATATACCATATAAATAAGAGAATCCCCCCTAAAGGGCGGTTTTGTTATTTAAAGTTTTAAATTATTTTTAATGGTGAGATTTTGCTCATTTAAAATATATAAACCTATTATTATAATAGTATTACTTTCTTAGATTTACGCGAATATTTGACATTTTCAATAAAACCATCTTTTCGGATTATTTCGCGGATTCATTTTGATTTTTGGTTCCCGACGTTACTAAAAAAAGATCTATCTATGTCATCCTGAGCTTTTTTGCAGTTTTCTTAATATTCAGAATTATT